CATGAAGGGGCCAGGAGGATGGGGCGCACAGAGGGGGTACATGCACACACACATGAAGGGGCCAGGAGGATGGGGCGCACAGAGGGGGTACATGCACACACACATGTAGGGGCCTGGAGGACAGGGCGCACCGAGGGGATACATGCACACACACATGAAGGGGCCATGAGGACAGGGCACACCGAGGGGGTACATGCACACACACATGTAGGGGCCAGGAGAACAGGGTCGCACAGAGGGGGTACTTGCACACACACATGTAGGGGCCATATTGACGGGGCGCACCAAGGAGGTACGCAGACACACACACATAGGGGCCAAGAGGATGGGGCGCACTGAGGGGGTACAAACACACACGCACACACACATACTTTTAGTCGTACGCACACATACACACAGCCCAAAGCCATGTTCTGATGGCTGTCTGGCGCGGCTCGTGCTCTACCTCACAGGCAATGCCATCAGTGCCCTGGGAAGCTGGCCCTCCCGGTCGGTGGAGACCACCCCTTTGCCCCGCCCACGCCCGTCTCCACGTATCCGGCACGACGAGATAAACGGAAACGTCCTCCCCGAGCTCAATGTGGTGAGTGGCTCCCGCCAGGGCCTGGCGTCCCATCCTGGGTGCCCCCCCAGCCCTAACCCTAACCCTCACCAGTAAGGTGTATGTATGGATGTCACTCCTTTATCTAGCCAGATAATTTGCTTGAGACCTTTGCATAAAGGTCCCCCCCCCCCCCCCGCTGCACTTTAAATAGGGGATTTGGTCTCGCTGTAGCCCTCCTCTCTCTGTGGCCCCTCTTTCTCTACATCCTTGCCCCCCCTCATCCAGTGCTCGCTCTCTGTGAGAGGATTAACTAAAGGTGTTTGCGTGAGGCAGTGCATCAGTCAGCTTGTATTAATATTCATTTATTCATACCCATCTGTCTCTCTCTCTCTCTCTTTCTCTCCATCTCCCTCTCCTTCTATCTTAATCCCTCTGACTCTTTCCTCCGTTCTGGTTTTCTCTTCCATTCATTCCCTCTTTTTTGCTCTCCTCCCTCCCTCCATCCCTCACTCATTCATTCGCATTTCTCCACCCACTTCTTCATCTTTCCATTCACTCTCCCCATTTCTCACTCTTTCTTCGCCCCATCGCGTTCATCCCCCATCCCCCGGGTCCCATCCATCCATCCATACTACTCTGTACATGTATGTCCCTCTGTCAGGTGGAAAAGAGTGAGGAGGAAGAGGAGGAGGTGGTGGAGGAGTCCCACGAGGAGGTAGAAAGGGAGTTCAACGTCATCCAGCTGTATTCGGAAAAAGGCACAGAGTCGAACATGCACTCCGGAGCCTGGGGGTGGGCTGGTTCCCCCGGCCCGTCCTTGCTGCTGTCCCTGCTGCTGCTGCTGACTGACACACTGAACTAAAGGGGGGGGGCAGCACATGGGGGACCCCCGAAGCTCCGCCTCCACCCAACCCCTCCCCCACATTGATGCTCAGAGAGGGAGAGCGAATGAGGCAGCAGGCAGGATGGAGGAAGAGGAGCGGAGATGGACGGACTGAGGAATGGCCTCTCTTTGCGTGTCGTATTGCTCTCTCTCTCTCTCTTGCGTGTAATCGTCTCATTCACCGCTTTTCTCCCCACTATTGGCGGCGATCGGGCGACTGCGCCCTCCCCAAACGGACCGATCGGTGCGCCTCCCTCTTCGCCTCCTCCATCCGGCACCCGGCTCCCAGACACTCATCAGTGCGATTGCACCCCCCACACGCCATCTTGTGATTCTATGTGTAAAAGTGCCGGGGCTGAATGGCAGCCCTGTGGAAAAGCAGCATCCCTTTTCTCCCGTCTCCTGTCTGCCGGTAACCCCCCCCCCCCTCCCTGTCCTTGCCCTCTGCAGGAGCGCCTGCCCTATCACATGGGGGCAATGCCAGGGGGCTTACAGCTGATGAACACGGCACAGAGGCATTTTTTGGGGACGGGACAAGGCAAGGAGTGAGAGGGGGAGGTGGACAGACTTGAAGCTGCGTCGCATTAACGTTCCGTCTCTTTCTCTGTCTCGCTCTGCTCGCGCCTCCCTCTCCCCCACGTTAGCATGCGCCTCCGACCCCCGGCGATCAAACATCGTCTGGCTAAGCCCCCCTTCATCGCTTTATCTGCCGCTGTTTAATTTTGCCACCGCATGGGTCTGAGAGTTTAACCACAGGCGTCGACACGTAGCAGGAAAAAACCCTAATAACAGCAAAACGGAAAAACAATATGTGTAATAAAGCAAAAATCGAAGAGCCGCGCCGCGCATCTCGGGTCTGCACACGTGGGGAAATAGAGACCTATTTGTTTCCGTCCGCAGGCTTTTTTTTTAGGGGATTGTTTTAGTTTTGGGGAGACAATACATTATGGTGGGGGCCATTTATCTTCTGCGGCATTGTGGGAGAGATTGTGGGAGAGGAAGAAGGGGCAAGCGTGCGAATGCGTGCGAATGCGTGCGGAGGAGAGCGAGGAAGAGACAGCAGCAGTGTGAGGCCCTGGAGCACAAACAGAGCGCGCACCATTGCCGAGTCCCTACTCCTCCCTGCTGATCGATCGCTCACTGACACTGTGTTTTCTTCTATTGTGTTTTCTTAGGAACTTGCAAAATTAACTTCCATCTGCAGGGGATGGGGGGGGGGGTTGGGCTGGGGCTGATTTAGAGGCAGCATTAGTGGTAGTCACACCTCTGTCACCCTGCCCGCCATCTTTAATCTCTCTTTCTGTCTGCCGAGGTGAAAAGCTTTAGTTGTCGTGGCAACCCTCCCTCGAATCCCTCCACCTTCCCGGGGCTCAGAGTGTTTATCGGAGCCCCCCCCCTCGTACCTTAAACAAACGCCGCCTTTGATATGATACATCAAAGAGGAGAGCACTCGCTGGCGGAAGGCAACATTGTGCCAGGGAAACTCCAGAGATGGGATTGGGAGGGACAGGCAGTGGGTTAACTGGGAAGGAGGATCAATCGTGCCGTCGAGTCTGAACCTCGTTTATGATGACCGCTGTAATTTTTAATTGTTATTGCGGTCGTTTGTCGTCTGGTGACATCTGTATGTGCCGGGAGCTTGACAGTGACAGTCGGTGGTGAGGGAGGGACCTTCATGGCCTTGATTTATATTACAATATTTTAGAAATCATTATTAGTGAGCTAAGAAGTCATGCGTTAAATAAACATGCAGTGCAAGGTGGGGGGGGGGATTTGAGTATAAATAAGTTTTTTTTTATTGCAGCTATTGTGCTAAAGCTGTATAATTTGCCCCAACCCGACTTCCCGATGCAATTTCCCTCGTAAAAAAATCTGGTGCTGCCTTAAGTTCTCTGTTCCAAGACCCTTTACTGTGGCAGCACAGTGGTCTGTTTCAACAGCGTCTTACTGATGACTGGAGAGATGGAATCAGAGAGAGAGAAAGAGAGAGAGAGAGAAGGAGGGAGAACGGGAGTGAAAGTGACCAAAAGGCTCTGGGTAGCATTAGTGCTATAGTCAGACACTCAGATTTATTTCCATGCCTTGAGGTGAGAGCCAGGTCTCGCTTCCATTGTGTTACCTAGTGCTTCAATGTGCGTTGCTGGATGTCCATGCATCAACATCAGCGAGCTTCAGAATAAACTTCCAAAACACACTCGCATCGTTACTTTGCCTGCTGTTTCTCTCCCTCCAGTGCTCCCATGAAGGGAGAGCCGAAATAAACAGTGTAAATTCTGTGACATTTAAAAGCTATTTTTTCTATATGGTATGTACACGTGGATGTACAGGTGTGTGATCTGCGTTCCTTTTTATTAACTGCCGTTGCCGTGGACGTGGTCGGGCTCCTCCCTGTCCCCCCACCCACCCCCGCCCCGTTTGTTCGATTCGGGCAGAAAGGTGCCGCCCCCCCTGCTGGGGGAAACAAAGCTACTGTCCACAACCTGACGGCGATTTCATCTGTACTGTTTATGGTGAAAGCTAAATGCCTGTGGTCTCTATGCTGAACACCACGTCAGAATCACTGGCCGTCTCAGTCATAACGACGTGTTTTTTCTTTCTTCCAGATTTCAAAACCAATAATGCTTAGGTGTATTTAAGTTTGATGTGTGCTAAGAGAGGATAGAGACACAACTGGAATTAAGGAATCATACGAGCGTTAAAGCTCGTAATGAATCTCAGACAGTTACAGAATAAAATGCTAATAACTAAATGCTAATCAATTTAGAAATTAGCTAACATAATATCAAAGGCAGCAGCGACAGAGGGGAATTGGTTGGTTCAGTAGTTCTCCGTGGTGGCAAATCCACAGAACCCATTTGTTGAGAGCGAACAGGACCCAGAGCTTCTCTAAGTTGTGCCGTCTGGCCCATTTGGCGTCAGAAAAGTCTCTCCGATTCCCTCGTCTGTGTCCGTAACATTCAGGTTTTGTTCTGTGCTGTTTTCTATCAGGTGTGGACAAAAAAAAAAAAAAAAAGCAACTTGCGACACTGTGCAAAGATGAGTCAATAAAAAGAGCAACCTCACGTTTTTCTACCTGTGCTGCTTGACTGGTCTGTGTGCGCTTCCCCTTCCAATGGGCCGAGTGATCTGCCGCTGGGAGTGAGCCGAGCCGGTGATGTCTCTCACCAAGCGATGCGAGTGATCCCATGATGATGTCATTTCCTGTGTCACGCGACTCAGCACCCTTGTGCAACACCTATACCACGGTCAGTCCTGGAAGGGAATCTTGCTAGGCTCATAGTCCCCTACGACCTTCTACTAAATAAGTAGATGGATGGATGGATGGATGGATGGATGGAAATTCCTAACAGAATTCCCATCCCGGCAGGGAGCAAGTACGACAATAACTTCAGTAGCCACAGCTGAGAAAAGGTTAATTTGTTATTATAGTATCTAATTGCAGGTCTGATTTGATACTCAAATACAAATGACTGTAAGTCTTTATAAATGAATGACATTGAGAGAAGCTGCCTCTTATCTCACTCTTGATTACACCTGCCCATCTGCTCCTTTGTCATGTTCTGTTTCACACCCTGAACATCTTTTTAAACATCCGCAGCCTGTGTTTTCTGCCAAGCAGTAATTACTCGAAGCTGCTCAACAGATGTTGGGCCTCCAACCACTACATTCATAAAACATTCAATTATCCAACACTAATGCTCATTTTCATAATGATTTTCCACTTTTGGAAATATTTGGTTTCACCACACAAATACCTTTAATAAGGAGTGAATTACATCATGGCTTCAATTACACAATAAACGGTTCACCCAGGACCCCATTTCAAATGGTCACTGATTTGGCCCTAACCATGAATTAAATTTAAGGATTATATTTTAAGACGTAGGATTGAATTCCCCTTAATCTTTTTTTTCTCTATACGGTTTCATGTGTCTGATATGAGATGAAAACACTCATGGCTTTTCCACAAGGACAGTGACAATGTTTCTTTGGAGAGCCCCCCCCACCAGATCAAAGAAATGCAGATAGCCCTCCCTCTCCAGGGCCCTGTACACTTTGGATGGATGGATGGATGGGTGGATGGATGGATGGATGGGAAATCCAAATAAAATGTACGCATTTACATTCTGTTTTATCAACCTAGCGAGCTATAAAATGCCTTAAAGATTATGAATTTATTGCACACTTGCTGATTATAAAAGTTTCAGCCATTAAGCTGAACATATTGCTACGTAAGCCTTAAAATTTTCAATAAGGGAAATTATTGTTTCATTAATAAATTGGTCAAATAAGTTAAATAAGGTCTGAGTATTTGTCCTGAGGAAAAATGACTAAATCTATTGTAATGAACTTTTAAGAGTTGGCCTTAACAGTTTAGCATGTGAATAGTCCTGCAAGTTTATTGCAAGTGACATTTAATAAATTACTAAAATCTACAAATATTTTAATTGATCATATGAAACTATGAAACTTTCAGTGGAGTGAAAAAATTTGCATTCCGCTTTTATTTTTGTGTAGATCATCATCCAAGGTATTTATGCTCCTTTGTAATTTGTATCAATTTTAATCATATTAATCACAATAATCCTATTAATTAATTAAAGAGCGAAAAATTGTGTTTAACAAATCCAGATAGCTAAAGCTAAGAATTTGTCATGGGGGGGGGTGCTTAAAATCTTAATCAGTCGTGCTCATCTGAGAACATGCATTCAAGTTCAATTTCAATATCATTAATTTGGAAATGACAGCGTAAATTATTTGAGTTCAAACACACACACACACACACACACACACACACACACACACACACGCAGGTTCGTAATTATATCTTGGCACTTTCCAAAGATCCGAAATAAAACAAGCAATTCTCCAGTTTCATAAAGACGTACAGAAGCAGCCCCTTAAAGTCTTAGCGCTGTGTAACCGGAGTATCGGACTGTGACCTCATCAAAAGGGCGTCGCAAAGCTGTCAGCCGCCTGGACTTACTGTACTGCGGGCTGGGATGACAAAAGGTCAACATGCGGGGAGCAGAGCCTCCTGCGGCTAATATAGCACAAAACGACAGGGGCAGCTAATGTTCCACCTCCATGCATAACAGCCGAGAAGCTAAATGGAAAGAAACTGACTGCTTGTTAATAGCAGTTACAAAAAACAAGCCTTTGCCCGCTTCTGGTAATGGTGACCACATCGCTCCATTCATTCATGTCAATACTTAGCAATGGTGCGCTTAATTAATCATTACGTGTGATTCAATTACCGCGTCTGCAGTAATGTCTGGTGCAACACAATTTTTCTTCTAGATGAATAAATGTGCAAAATAGAAACTGTTAATTAAACTCAGCACCCAAAACATTTTCTCTGTGAGGGGGAAGTGGATATAAACCTTTGATACTTTTTCAACTCTAAATACCAGTGGGATGTTTCTGCATATGCATGTGCTAATCAGTGCCACATCTGTACATAATGCTGAATTAAAAATGGCATATTAAGTGTATAGCTTAATACAGAGTTAAATCCCGTAGAATTATTTTAACTTTTCTTAGTGTTAAATGAACTAACACTGGCAATTTTGCTGTATATGGGGTACCAGTTTGACAGGTGGAATTTCTGAATGGTATGTAGTCCTTATTATGTTGTGAGCATATATTTTAGACAAGCTTCTGAATATAATGCTAAAATTAAAACCTTAAAGAATATGACTGGGTAGTGTAGGGTAGCGAAAGGGGCTGGGGCCTGTAGACCAGCCGGCGTAGGGTAGCGACAGGGACTGGGGCCTGTAGACCAGCCGGCGTAGGGTAGCGACAGGGACTGGGGCCTGT